CTGTGGGGAAAAGGAAGACAAAGGGAAGGATAACATCTTAATATGCAGAGGTAGGTTATAAACGCTCACACAGTGTAACAAGGAAAGGCTTCTAGTGTCCAGTTTCCACATCTATATTGAATGAAGAAGCCTCTGATTCACATCTTACCATCTCCATCAAATCACCAGCACAAAGAGTACACCTCCTACTAGGGCTAAACAAGAAATGTTTTTTTCCATGTCACAAAGCTCTGAGATTCCATAAACTCTTCATTTTGCAGGAAGGCAGAATCACAGAATCGTTGAGGTTGGAAGGGACCTCTGGAGATCATCTAGTCCAACCTCCCTGCTCAAGCAGGGTCCTCTAGAGCAGATTGCCCAGGATCGCATCCAGACGGGTTTTGAATATCTCCAGCGAAGGAGACTCCACGACCTCTCTGGGAAACCTGTTCCAATGCTCTGTCACCCTCACAGTCAAGAAGATTTTTCTCAGGTTCAGATGGAACTGCCTGTGGTTCAGTTTCTGCCCATTGCCTCTTGTCCTGTTGCTGGGCACCATGGAGAAGAGGCTGGCCTCATCCTCTTGACACTCCCCCTTCAGATACTTGTACACGTTGATGAGATCCCCTCTCAATCTTCTCTTCTCCAGGCTCAACAGGCCCAGCTCTTGCAGTCTTTCTTCCTAGGAGAGGTGCTCCAGCCCTCTAATCATCTTGGTAGCCCTCCGCTGGACTCTCTCCACTACTGCCAGGTCTCTCTTGTACTGGGGAGCCCAGAACTGGACACAGTACTCCAGGTGAGGCCTCCCCAGGGCTGAGGAGAGGGGCAGGATCACCTCCCTCCACCTGCTGGCAACACTCCGCCTAATGCACCCCAGGATCCCATTGGCCTTCTTGGCCACAAGGGCACACTGCTGGCTCATGCTTAACTTGTTGTCCACCAGCACTCCCAGGTCCTCCTCTGCAGAGCTACTTTCCAGCAGGTCAACCCCCAGCCTGTACTGCTGCATGGGATTATTCCTGCCTAGGTGCAGGACCTTGCACTTGCCTTTGTTGAACTTCAGGAGGTTCCTCTCCGCCCACCTCTCCAGCCTGTCCAGGTCCCTCGGAATGGCAGCACAGTCTTCTGGTGTGTTAAAGGCAAAAAGGTCACAGCCTTCTGAAGTGCTTGCAAAGACGTAGAGAGAACCCACATGAAGGCAGATAAGAAACTCCTAATTGGGGCATTCACTCAGGACATGGGAGAACATCAATTCCCTTGTTTTCAATCCACACAAAAACTATAGGTGCATCTCCTGCACCCCAGCAAAGGGCAGCAATCACTTATTGCCAGGTTTAGGTTGCTTTTCCTCCTTCCAGAAGCCCCAGCGTAGTCCTAAGTAGCCTTCTCCAGTAGAGAGGCCAGAGCTGGAAAATTCCTGGGATGCCTGGGTTTGGACGGATCAACATTTGCCAACAAACAATTGCACTGGAAAATCCCTTACCAAGTGTGGACATTTACTCACTGAATGCCTGCAACTGCTCCGTAAGGCCTCTCTTCCAATATGGTCTGCAAAAACAACATGCGGTCACTACATTCAGCTACTGTAAAACCACTCAGTCCAGTAGCAGCCACCAGCCTGGGGCGCACAGTCTCTGACCGTATGTCTCCATCACACCAGTAAACATGGTAACAAATGCAGGACACAACCTCGTTGGCACAAACATGCTGTGCGGGCCAGACACGAAGCATGCCCTAGTACTTTGCTTTGGCAAGCGAGAGATTTCATCAGCAACTTAGCACCCAGTTCCTCACTTCCAGCAGGCTGCACAAGGCCATCAGCACTCAGAACATGAGTGGCATTTTCCCAAGGTATTAGTTCACACAATCTTTAGATCATCCAACAAATGAGTCAAGAGCACAAGCACGATTTTTCTGAAGCGACCAAGCAGGGGAGGGATGATAATCACTCCTTAACGGGTAAAGACTTGCGGGACTCCTCTTTCTCAGTTCCAAGGCAGCATGATGTCTTACTTCCTAAGTCCCCCCTTCACTTCCCATTGCTGTTAACATACTAAGTGTGTAGGATCAGCAATGACAAAACTGTTATAAGCCCCTCACCACAACTACTTTCAAATGGAAAAGCAAAAGACTGAGCCATACTGATATCCACAGACAAAGAAGCCAAAAAATCCACTCTGATTTCACTCCACACCTTTGTAAGCAGCGGTCACCCTCGCAACAAGCTAGCCCAAGCTGGATATGCTTCCTCGGGACAGACAGGTGTCTGGGCAAGGAAAGAGCTCCTGCACACAGCTCTGTTGCTCACAAGGACCACAGGTGTTGCCACCAGGCAATGTTAAAGCAGCCCAGTTGCATGCATGCCCTACAGCAGGTGATGAAAAGCACCCTGCACGCAGAGGTACTGTTCTCAGGAACAGCATTGCTCCTAATAGTCCAACTTTTTGTTAATCTTCTCAGGCCCAACCCAATGATGTTTTGAACCTGAACAGATTGCTGCTTTACACCAACACCTGCAAGCAGAGTTGCTGCCGGACACCCCAGAAGCTGCATGGTCACTACTGTGTCACTGTGCATAGGATAAATCATGTCGGCAGGGACCTTCACTCCAACCTCCTGCTCAAAGCAGGATCAGACCAGGTTGCTCAGGGCTTTATCTTTGTCTAAGTGCCTTTAGCATGTCCCATTCTTGCATCATCCAGATAAGCTGCTGATCCCTCTTCAAATCACAAACCCCCAAACACAAGGCCTAACGCACTCACATGAAACAATGCAACAAATACATTTGGGCACACGTACACAGTCAAAACAGGCCAGTCTATGCCAGGTAGCACAGTCCTTCATAGAGGAACACGCGCACCCTGCTGATGGGAAATAGGATGGATCAGAAGTGCCTGTCTCCCATCTCATGACTTGTAAATATTCACACCACCCTCCTGAGGTCCAAAATATAACACTGGTGTCTGCTT